CTTACGTGGAGTAAGCTCAACAACTTTCTCTTTTCCCTTTTTACTATTTAGCAGTCTTTTTTTTTCCTTCTCCCCTCTTGAGTTTCATATGTACTTGATCCTTAACCACTTTGTTAAGGTAATAAAGGATGTAGTATAAACATATCTTAAATAGTCATTCAAGCTGTCCCAATTTTATTCCTTATCTATTATTGGATTCCCAAAGTAATTTTGGTGTTCATTTGTTCTCTCATTATAACTTAAAAGATTTTGGTGATGGCCAAACAATGTTTCATACCCAACCTAGACAGTGGATTTTGCTACGCATTATTGTCTCTCCTTTTGTTTTTCATTTTAATTTTTTTATATGCATATAATAATACCACTGCTAAGGTATATTAACAGGGAGCAGTTCAAATATTCCAACAGAGAAATTTGATATACCTTCAAGAGAAATGTTAACAACAATTTTTTTTATCATTGACTGAAATTTATTAAAAATCACAAATTTTAATATGTTTACTTTCATTTAATGAATATTTTTCCTGATTTAGCGATGAAAAGTACAAAAAATTTTAATTTTCTGTAAACAGCAGTCAACAATAACAGGAAATAATTGAAAAATAAGTGTTAAGAGAGTTTTGCTGACCTTTCTTGTATCAAGAAGCTCTATCTGCAACATATTACATAATCAGCTAAAGATAATTTAGCTCTAAACTATCACACATATAGCACATAAACCACCACACAGCACAGGCACACATATATTGGGGAAGAAGTAATCATTGGGATGTTACAAAAAGTGTCTGTCTTTCACCATAGATAATGTATCCTTCCCCTGAAAGATACTGTTGTCCCATTTGGCCCCCAAAGAAAAATGAAAATGAAGGAAACAGGGGTAGGCAAAGGGGACAAGAATAAATTATTGTTCTACAATCTTTAAAATTTACAGCCTTAATTTGCTGAAATTTCCACTGGTACTCCTGGGGCAGGTTCTACAACCTTTGCATCTGGTAATTCTTTTGATAAAAGTTCCTGCATTGATAATTGTTTCAAGATGGAACCATTTAGCATACATCAATAAGAAATAATGCAACTTGAAAGCAAGTAAAAACTTTAGAGAAACTTAAATATTAGTTTTCGTCCCACTGCCACAACCAAATCATTCTAAATAGACTAAGAGTATGTTTAGATTAATTTCTTCAAAAACACTTTTAAGAAAAAAAAAATAGGAAGAAAAATTGAAATAAACTTTTTTATAAGATAAAACTAGCTTATACATAAATTAAAAATAAGATTTTGGAGAAAATAATAAAAAGAACTTTTACAAATTAGTTTATGGCTTTATGCATAAGCTAATTTTAGTTTATAAAAAAGTTTATTTCATTTTTCCTTTTTATTTTTTTCTCTTAAAAGCGATTTTGGAAAAGATTACACAACATGTCCTATGTCAATTTCTGTGTTTCCTCCGGTAATAATAATTTCATTGTTAGTTGTACACGAGAAACACTATCTTTTGCAGGTTAAGATTAAAAAGATAAAAAAAAAAAAAAAAAAAAAAAAAAAAAAAAATCCCCAC